TGGCATTCCAGGATGCACACCTTCCCGACACGATTGCTGAAGAAAAATGTGAACATAAGCAAAGGTGGTGAAGAAAGCTGATGGTGCCTGGCTACCAAAAGATATAGCGTCTGGGGTCTTAAAGGCTTGAAGGCAAACAAGTGGTCATCTAGCTGAGAAGCACCATAGCCTCTACATTCAGGGTCATCTAGCTGAGAAGCACCATAGCCTCTACATTCAGGGCCATCTAGCTGAGAAGCACCATAGCCTCTACATTCAGGTGGCATATATTCAAGGCTGGACTTTCTCGCTTATGAGTCTGTTCTGATTTTCTTCAGCTTCAACTTAACTTGCACATGAACAGTCAATGATTGGTTCTGCAGTTCGCCTCTGGCCTTGTTCAGACGGATGTTAAGCCTCCACCTTCTCTTTCCACAGATGAAGTTGATTTGATTCCATCTATCTTTACTAATTAAGGTCATAAAGATTCATTTTGTTGTTGTTGCTAGGTGCCACTGGGTCGGTTCTAACCCATAGCAACCTTATGCGCAACAAAACATAACACTGCCCGGTCCTGTGCCACCACACAATTGTTGCTCTGTTGGAGCCCATTGTTGCAGCCCCGAGTTCATGCATCTCCTTGAGCGTCTTTCTCTTTTTTGCTGCCCCTCCACTCTACCAAACACGATGTCCTTCTCCTGACAACATGGCCAAAGAACATAAGGCGAAGATTCGTTTTAGTAGGCTGTAAACTTTTTTCCAAGTTAAAGCCATAAATGAAAGAAGGAAGTTTTTAATATGGCAAGATGTTTTCAGAAAATGATTCCAAACCAGATGTAACCTTCCTTATATAAGAAGAGCCGTAATTCATCATATTTTTAAATTAAGAATGTGTCATTTCTATCTTTACATTAAAAACCCTGAACAGACTGTTGAGAAGCCACTGTTTATGTACCAGTAGATGGCACTGGAGTGATAGCAATAGTTATAGAGATGGTTTTAATACCAAGTCACGGTAATAGCCTTCAATAGGAAGTTACAGTCACCAGAGGTTATGTTACTTGTAGATTATGGTAGCAATATGAATTGTAAACTAAATATCTGCTGTGCTCTCATTTTGGACTCGAGTGTGGTGGCTTGATGTTGTGGCTGTTGTTATATATTGTTGAGACAGATTTCAAGGAGCCAGTGACCCCGTGTCCTAGAATGGCATGCTACCGGCTCCTACACCATCTTCACTAGCATTCCTTTGTTTGAGCCCACTCTTGCAGCCACTGTGTCAATCCATCTTGGTGAGCCTCTTCTTCCTTCATTGACTGCCTAGCAAGCGTGGTGTCCTTCTTCAGGGAACAGTTCCTCTTGATAACATGTCCATTGTTCTCTCCCAGCACAATTAGAATATTGCCCTTATTTGGGTGTGCTATTCTTTGAGTAACATACTCCATAGGACCCACTATCTCTTCAGCTTCTATGATGACTCAATAAATTGTTAAATTGTTGAGTTGCATGAATGTGTACTTTCTGGGATTATGCATGCACATGATTACTTAGCCTGAGAGAAATTGCATGAGTTGGTACATTCTGAGATTATACACATGCTTATTTTTTTTCCTTTTTTTTTTAA